GTAAATCGTTTGACACAGTGGTGTTCGGTTCCTTCAACGCCGCCAGTGACCTATATTTTCCGTTCTTTTATGCAGACGCTCACTATGGGGTGTATTGATATACAGACACTGCAGGGGGGTGGGGGCCAGCACGGCTCATTAAGCATCCCTTTGGCACAGCCTGAACCCTGCACCACTCAGTATCCATATACACCACAAACTGCCTCATCTGTGACAGAGGCCATCTCAGAACTATTTCTTATATAAGCAGACGTGAAGAGACACTCTACTCAGATTGGGTCTTAGGAGTCAGCGGGGAGATCGCTCAGAATTCAGATCAACTGGAGAAATTAAAAAACAAAAGAAAAGAGCTGATGTAAGTTGTGTTTTACCGCTGTAATAATAAGAGTTCATTAGAAAACGTGTTCTGTCTTATTGCTGTAGCACAGAAATGTTTGTCCAATGACTGTTCTCCAGCAGAACAAACGCTTCTGGTCTTACATAAGTTTAAACGGCCATCTTGTTTAACCGCTTCGTAGCAAGAGATGATTATGCCTTTTTTTGCACATGTGTTAAAATGCAAATTTTAGGCCTGAATATTACTTATCCCCCTCAGGACCGCAATATACTTATATACAAGGCGTTGTCCTGAAGTGGTTATACCAAGATTCTGGTACTGTTCTTTGCTGCCGACTTCAGCAGCTGTAGAGCTGCCTGATCACTTGCATGCACCTTCTGAGTTCCCCACCCCCACCCAGTGCCCCACCACTGTTGCTGGCTATCCCAAGCTCTGGACCAGCACGGTGGGTGTAGACGGCTGGATCGGAGGAAGAACAGCTCACTTGCAGTGTCCGATCTCCCCTCTAATCACTGAACCCGGAAGCAGCAAAGATCTTGTCACTTCCAGTTTCAGGCTGTCATTTCTCCAACTGATGTGGCCCGGTGATGAAGCTGGTGAATTTGTGCTTCATTAGCTTCTTTGGAGTCCATAGTTAATAGACCCCTGAAGAGCACATGTCACTTCCCCTGTGTTTTTTACCTGCCTATGTGATAGCAATAAAGTTAAGTGTTAAAAAACAAAAAATTATAGCGACATATATATTTAAAAAAAACGCACATACATTTTCTTTATAGCCCTCCACCCCCCTCATACTTGAACATACAAACGCAAACATGCGTCAGCTGCGACCACATGAGAAAACAATGGTTGTGCCATTAATACATATTGCTGCAAACGTCACACTGAGAGCAATAATTCCAACGCCGTCGCTTACCGCTAACTCTACGCCCTCATTCACACGAGAAAAGGCCGGAACGTACAGCTCCGTGCTGCGTGTACGGCCGTATCGGGCAGCTCCCGAGATAGACAGGGGCTGCGTGTGATTAATACGCAGCCCCCGTCCTTCTCTATGGGTGTACGTGGCTCCTGTCCGTGTCTGAGCCAGGAAACACGCACCCGTACGGACCTGCACTTGGGGTGAGTGTAGGGCGGCATATGGCCGGGTTCTTCCATAGAGAAGTACAGGGGCTGCGTATTAATCACACGCAGCACCTGTCCTTCCCGGGAGCTGCCCGATACGGCCGTGCACGCAGCACAGAGCTCTACGTGCCGGCCTTTTCTCGTGTGAATGAGGGCTAAAATGATGAGCGGTAAAAGCTTTTACATTTTGGATATTGTAGTTTTTTGCTATATCACGGGTGCACACACAATTTGAAGGCTTGACATGTTTGGTATCTATGTATCCAACACGGCCCCCTCTTTTATATTTTACCAAAGAATGGGTATTATTGCAGCTAGCATTTTTTATTCTGCAGGGCCCCTGCTTTCAGAAAAGATATAATCATCTCAGCCTAGGCAAAGTCACTGAGTAGAGCTCACGGGCTGCTTTTTATGATAAAAGGTGTAATTTTTGAAAAATTATGCTGTTGTTGTATGTTATGACATGTCAGTCACATCTGTTCATGCAGACTTGTTACTGAAAAGTCCACTTTAACAACTTGTACATAGAGTCATTCCCTCGACACAGTGGCCATTTAGAAATTGCCCATACATACTAGATAAACTCTGATTGGACAAGGGGGCAGTGACATCAGAGAACTCAGGAGTCAGAAGTGCCTAATGCACAAAGTGCAGGGGTCAGGAGTAGTGATGGGCCGAACACCCCCGTGTTCCGTTTGTATTCGAACATTCGAATGGCCGAAAAGTTAGAATACGAACTCGAACCTAATGCAAGTCAATGGGGGTCGAACTTTCGGAAACGAATGTGCCCTTTAAGAGGGCTTACATGCAAGTTATTGTCCATAAAAAGTGTATGGGGGTCTGAGTACTGCTCTGGGGGACAGGAATCAATGAAAAAAAACAAAAAAGTTTTTAAAGGAGCAGTGATTTTAACATGACTTAAAGAGTAAGAATAAAAATTTAAAATTCCTTCAAATATCGTGCCTGGGGGGTCCCCATAACCTGCCTGTAAAGTGGCGGATCTGTAGGATGTATAGAACCTGCTGCAGCAAAACTGACATTTCTAAAGAAAATAAAATGACATTTCTTTTTTTTTTTACTCTTAAAGTGTGCAGTTCCCCCTCCCAAACCATACCAGACCCTTTAGGTCTGGTAGGACTGTTAGGAGGGACCATTTTTTTTTTTAAAGCGTAGGGTTCCCCCTAAAATTCATAACAGACCCTTAAGGTCTGGTAGGAATATTTAGGAGGGACCCGTTTAAAAAAACCAAAAAAAAAGTGTTTGGGATTCCCCCTCAAAGTCATACCAGGCCCTTAAGGTCTGGTCGGAATTTTAAGGAGGACCCCACCCACAAAAATGGCGGGGGGGGGAGACGCCTAATTGAGTAGTTTGCCGTCATCTGACAGGCGAGACATGATTGGGCAAAGTCATCATGACTTTGCCCAATCATGGCTCTTACTCAATACTGAGCCCTGATTGGGCAAAGTCTTGCACCTGACCTACGGTCAGGTGCAAGCCTTTAACCAATTAGGGCTTCAGAAGGCGCTTTGCCTTGTGGGACAATGCGTGGTCGAACAGACCGCGAACTTCCCACAAAGTTGGCGATCGGCGAACGCCCGAACAGGCAATGTTTGAGTCGAACGTAACGGGCAGCCCATCTCTAGTCTGGAGTACATAACACGCAGAGTGCAAGGATCAGGAGTGTATAATGCATGGAGTGCAGGGGTCAGGAGTGTGTAACGTACAGAGCCCAGCGGTCAGGAGTACGTAACACACAGGGTTCAGGGGTCAAGAGTAAGTAATGCACAAAGAGCAAGGGCAAGGAGTACTTAACACACAGAGTGCAGGGATCAGGAGTATGTAATGCATGAAGTGCTGGGGTTAGGAGTGTGTAACATACAGAGCCCAGGGGTCAGGATTATGTAACACACAGGGTGCAGGGGTCAAGAGTCCATAATGCACAAAGAGTCAGGAGTGCACAAGAGGTGTATGTATCAAGAGTGTGAAGTGCATAGAGTGTGGGAGTCAGGAGTTTGTAGTGCAGTGTGAAGGGGTCAGGAATATGTCAGGAATACGTAATGTATAGGCCAGTGCACAAAGTAGAACCCAAAAAAACCCTACTCCTGCGCAAATCACTCCCTGTATAGTCCGCCCCCCTAATACCCCCGGGTACAGACCTCCTCCCCCAATACAGAGATACCCAGTACAGACCTCTGCACACCCAGTACAGACCACAGCAACTTACCAGACCTCAGATATAGTGATAAGGCACAGTGAAGGACAGTCCTCCCCTCGACTGTGTCATGTGGCACTCACTGCAGGGCCAAGGACCCCACAACACGGCTGCACTCCAGCACTGTAGCCGGGGACAGTTCCAGGGACACTTGTTTCCCAGGGACGTACCCCAGGAAACGGGGACATATGTTGACCACACTGCTACATCATCACCTGTCTTTTACAGATAAAGCTCAGCTGAAGTTACAGAAATACATATGCAGTTACTCTAACAGTCTCCATTTTTTTTGGTCTTTGGTTTGTCTTGCCCCACTTTCCTGCCATAGCAGTTGTATTGTGTGTCTAAATATGACTGAGCAGTCCAGTAGGTGCTAAAGTGTGACCACACTGCACAGTGCTTTCTGCTGTCTATCATAACTTGGTCAAACAGGTCCCCTCTCTTCCTCTACACTACAAGTCATCATGAGGACACTTGTGATAAGGGGGTGAGGCCATCACTGATGTATGTCAGCATAGAGCACTAGAGTGGGAGGGTAGGAAGGGCCTTTCTACCAAGGTAATTTAAGGCATTGCCAAGCAAGGATCAATTTAAGATCACAACATATGACAAGACACGACTATAACAAGAAAAAAACGTTGCAAGGTTTCAATCCCTGTTATATTCCGACGGAAGTTGAACTTGTCACACCTCATGCTCACTAAACCAATGCCTGCTGTGTTACCATGGTAACAGTCAAACCGCATCGCACACAGCATCACACCAGGGGGTCTGTCAAAATAGCAATAGGGGTGCTTCTGAGGCCAAATTGTTTTTAAAGGAGAAGGCATCAGAGCTGCCATCATACATATATTGGTTTGAAGGACAACTCCATGGTAAAGCAACATATATCTGAAGCCAAAATTTATTATTATTATTATTATTATTATTATTAAGGAAGCAAGTAAAGGGAAAAAAATAGATAGAAAAAATTATAGCTATATTTAGCATTTTTTCCCCTAATGTTTTGACTTCAGATGTATTCTAATAATAAACAGGAAGCAACTTACATGTTTGTGCTTTTTTTCTATAAATTAACCAGAAATAAATAACGATCCATAGGACATTGGGCCAATGGTAGGAAATGAGGGCTATATATCTAATATGGTCCTGAGCTCTGTGTTCTGGGTGCCAGCGGTCTATTGCATGCATCGCAGGTCCATCCAATAGAAGCCGTTTCGTTTATCAAATAGAGGTGGTTGAAGAAAGAAAGGGTAGATAGTGATTTGTACCTGGAGTCCTCCTTTATTTGGTGCCTTTGTGCTTTACTGAAGCCAGAAAATCTCTTACCGTTTTAGTTTTATCCATTGCCGTCAATATAGTCCCATTCAGGTTCTGCAGAGCTGAGAGGACGTTCTTGTATTCTCCTAAATATTCAGAGAAGTAATCTAAAACACAGAGTGGGATGAACATTAAAAGTCTGAAGGTTGATGGATTCGATTCTCCATTGCCTAGTTAAGGGACTTGCGAAGGGGGTCATAATTACTTTCTTGCCCTAAAAATGATCCCACCTGATGAATAGATTTGCATATCATGTATTATTATTATTATTATACAGGATTTATATAGCGCCAATAGTTTGCGCAGCGCTTTACAATATAAGGAAGACATTACAATCACAATACAGTTCAAGACAAGATGGTAAGGAGGGTCCTGCCCGGGAGGGCTTACAATCTAAAAGTAGAATAATGTAGATAATATACATTTGAAAGAAAGCATTCTATCCAGTACAAGGCTGAGTTCACACGGATGGCAAAGGGGTGGTAAAAACAGGCAGCTGATCCATGTTTTTACCGTCCCTCCAAACACCTACTTAGAAATGAACATGGCGGCTACTCAGGTACATATCCACCAATCAGCCATAACATTATGACCCCCTATACCAATATTGAGTAGGTTCCCCTTTTGCTGCCAAAACAGCCCTGACTTATTGAAGCATGGACTGCACTAGACCTCTGATGGTATGCGGCTGTTATCTAGCACTGATGTCATCACATTTAATGCAGGCCCATAGACGCTGAAGGACAATCCACGAGCCAGAGCCGAGGGGGTAGAGGTGAGTGGTGACCACCAGAGGAGCGGGGATCAGGTAAGTAAATCTGCTTTAAAGAATCCCCTAGATGTAAACTAGCAGCTAACCCTTGCAGTACAGGGGTAGCTTTATGCAAGGAAGGGGAGTCCTGTGTCTAGAGGTTCCTAGGCTTTAAGTGCTATTTAGCATGTCTTCAATGAAACCACAGCTTGATGAGTTGAGGATATTGTCTCTACCCAGAATAAGTATGCAGATTAGGGTCCTCACCTCACTTTGACTTTCTAATTGACATGCTTGCTTCATATCATGGACTCAGCCAGTACTTGCTAAGACGGGAATGTTTTTTATATTCTCTGGATCTAAGTATATGATCTAAAGAGGCAGATATAAGGCTAAATTTATACAATTTGTCATTTGGAGGTCCCTGCCGGGAAAAGGGTTAGAGCAAGCCACACGTCATTAAATCCACCTTCCCCAGCAGAGGTGTCATAGGGCGACGTGTTTGATGAAATTCTTCTGGATCAAACATTAAAAGATCAGGATCTTAAAAGCAGCAAGTGCTTTAAAAGAGGCAGCCCGAGGCAGGAGCGGAGAAATCAGAACACAGCTTTGAACGATGACTAAACCTACAAATGAGGATCCCACTGGAGGGAGAGGGGGATTGTGTGAGACTTCTTCTGCCTGCCATGGGCAGTAATGGGACCCACGTCTCAACTATGTGGATTTAATATTTCTCTATTTATGCTTTAACCCTTTGCAGACAGGAATTGCTTTCTGAAAAGAAAGGTATATTTTCTTAAATAAACTGGAAAGTGCCCCAGCACATTGTAGCAAAGTTAATGTATCTTCTGGCCATAAATATTAAGCTAACCATAATTCTAGCCATATACATTAAGCCTTACACTTGATTCCTTGATTCTCCACTGCTAGTTTTGTATTCAGGCAGCTGCAGCACCCACGGCTGCCTATATGGTCAGACATAAAGGTCAGACATCCATGCACAATCTGACTGTCTCCTTAGGGCCCATTCTTGATCCAATGTTTCTTTCCTTAGGGCCCATTTTTACCTTTACATCTTGGTGCATTGCATTAACGTACCTTTATTTTGTGCACGTGCATTGTGCTAAGAAAGCCCATTCAAATGAATGGACTGGCAATGCACTAAAATAGCCAAAAGAGCAGATATGAGTGATTTTTGGCGAAGCAGCACAACACAACACATTACCATGCATTATTAAGTGCTGCAACGCATGAGTATTGGAGCAGTGTTGCCTTGGTGCTTTGGGCTGCCATTCAAAATGAATGGCACCATTACCGCAATGCACAGCAGTGGAAAGATCCTGATGGGTTCTTTTTGGCATGGTCTTTTTAATGGAGCACTCCTGTGTGTTAGAACATCTCATTCCAAGCAGGTACATACTCTGTTGATATATGTGTATGTATATATATATATATATATACAGGTGAAACTCGAATAATTAGAATATTGTGCAAAGTCATTTATTTCACTAATGCAACTTAAAAGGTGAAACTAATATATGAGATAGACTCATTACATGCAAAGCAAGATAATTCAAGCCGTGAATTGTCATAATTGTGATGATTATGGCTTACAGCTCATGAAAACCCCAAGAACCCCAAATCCACAACCTCAAAAAAGTAGATTATTACATGCAATCAATAAAACAAGGATTGTACATAGAACAATATCGGACCTCTGAAAAGTACAAGCATGCATATGTACTCAGTACTTGGTTTGGGCCCCTTTTGCAGCACTTACTGCAATTACTTTTGCACGATATTCTAATTATTCGAGTTTCACCTGTATATCCATTTTACCTATCTGATCATTTCGAATTCTGTGCTGCCTATCCTGTGATCCAGGTACTCCCAGCAGACAGCACAGACAGTAGCCCAGCTTGGTCAAAAAGACCCCACAGGCTGCTGAATGGAACAGCATTAGGACCTGCGTCCACCGGCTTTGGTTCACTTCAAGAGGGCTTTGCACCCAAACAGGCCAGTCAAATATTTATCTTGAGGAACCTTGCAGTAGGCCAATAGTGGACCAGTTGTGCCTTAAAGCTATTAATAGCTTGAAACCATCCACCCTTTTGTCTGGGGCACAATCACTGTATATGCCCCCAAATCCTTGTTAGTGCCGAAGAATTTATATTTGATATAATCACCAGCTACTACAATAAATATCAGTGTCATTAAAGTGAACTTACCACAAATTCGCTCTGTGTCCATGTTACTGTAAAGAAAAGATAGAAATGCGTATGGTTAGTTGGGAACCATTAACCCCCATGCCCATTAATTAAAGGGAAAATATGACATATTTAGAGAGCAAATACTGTGAGTTATTAATGCAGTGTTTACCTTGAAGTCATTTTTGGTACGACCTTTACAAGGTTACATGCTTGCTTCCATCTTTGTGATGGGATTAAATAAATACAGAGATTTGTAAATTAGCCACTAGAGTGAGCAAACACTTAATTTCAAATCACTTTGCCTCCACAACTGTGGAGCTATCAGCCACATAGGGAGTGCATTGTTTTCATGAGTAGGCCCAATGAGGCGGTTGAGTGGTTGAGGCATCTCATTGGGTCCTTTCCGGCCAGTGCATCCCAACCTGTGATGCTCTAGCCAGCTTCCCGCCCAGCTCCTGGCAGCCAGTAACATCAGTGAGCTAGGTGGGACACTTCTCCACCATTAACCCCTCCCTCCCCCCGGTAACGAGCGCCACCAGCACTCCCCTTCACCACCCTGGTAACATGCACCACCAGCACCCAACATCCCCCTTAACAAGCACCACCAGCATCCAACCCCCCTACGGGTTTGGGTTTGCCACCACCATGGGTTCACAGAGAATCCCAGGATTTGTGCAGTTTGCAAATCTCAAACCTTTGCACGCTCCCTGTCAGAAATAAGGAATAGCCTATAATGTAATGCATAGCCTTTGCTTCTGGTCAGCTAAGTAACAAGAGCTAATCATTTGGAGGAATAGATAGCCCAGCCCCCTTTCTATAGAAGAACTCACAACAACCATATTTTCTATATGGCACATATTCTACATTTTCTATATGGCACATTTTCTATATTGCACATGTTCTACATTTTCTATATGGCACATGTTCTACATTTTCTGTATGGCACATGTTCTACATTTTCTGTATGGCACATGTTCTACATTTTCTGTATGGCACCTGTTCTATATTTTCTATATGGCACATGTTCTACATTTTCTGTATGGCACCTGTTCTATATTTTCTATATGACACATTTTCTATATGGCACATGTTTTATATTTTCTGATGGCACATATTCTATATTTTCTATATGGCACATGTTCTATTATTTCTATATGGCACATGTTCTATTGTTTCTATATGGCACATGTTCTATTGTTTCTATATGGCACATGTTCTATTGTTTCTATATGGCACATGTTCTATTGTTTCTATATGGCACATGTTCTATTGTTTCTATATGGCACATGTTCTATTGTATCTATATGGCACATGTTCTATTGTTTCTATATGGCACATTATCTATATTTTCTATATGGCACATTATCTATATTTTCTATGTGGCATGTGTTCTATATTTTCTTTATGGCACTTTTTCTATATTTTATATGTGGCACTTATTCTATATTTTCTATATGGTACAGATTCTGCAAATGTATGTAATTTAATACATTTTTACTAGTGGGATACAAGTGTCTCTTGAAACTGTAAACAGCCGATCTCTTAGCAAGTCTTCCTGTGTTTTGCTCGTTACCCGTTCGGAAACGCAATGGCCAAGCTGTTCAATTATTCTGCAAGATGTCATCTACGGAACTTGTAATCTTATGGCCCTCTTCTATTATCTGTGATCTACCAGGCAATCAGCAGCGCTCAGCTGTCATTTTTGGAACAGTCTGACAAAATGATTTTGGTTTTTCTTCTATCATCATTTCCAAATGATCTGAGCGCTAGAGAATTTCCTGTGTCTAAATGTCAATCTTGCTCCACATGGCTTATCCAGATCTAATTACTGTATTATCTCCCTTTCAATAAAAAAATACACTTGCCTATCGTAACATAGGAAAAATCTCTGGTGCGCTATTCACACATGTAGACTACTTTGCTTTTGCTTGTGTAGCGAAAGTGAGAAAAAGTATTTTTGAAGTCATATTGTTCCTAAAAATCCCACCACTATTACATGTCCATGTGGCCCAACATTTAGGTATGAACGTAAGTCTCTTTTTGGGGGGTAAGTGACTTGCATGCACTCCACCTACGGCATTTTTTTAGGGTGGGTTTCCAGATTGTGACAACAGTGAACCATGACTGCGTGTGTCCAAATGACCACTTGTAGTACCCATCAGAACAGGTCGACAAGGACCTTCATGGATGGACCACCAGGTATTATTTTATTGATTTAGATTTAATTTAAAAAATGGAATTAAATTTGAAATTAGTTATAGAAGGGTTGAGATACTTTCCAGTAGAAATGCAGGCTCCCATCAGTGTTGACCACACATGTGAAGTTCTAGGTAACTGGTCATGTGAACTCTACTAAAGTGATAGAACAGCCAGTGTTCAACTGATCCCTACTTTCAGTAGAGATCACAAGATCACGGGGCAAGGGCTCACTCATATGCTCAAAAGTTAAGAAAGCTAAAGCAGAATATTCTCCAAGAAGGATTTGAGCCCTTCTGCTGTACTTTATTTGTCTATGCCATCAAGGCAGTCAATATAGTTTTATGTTAACACAAGAGGTATAGGTCAGCTTTAGTAATGAGCTTTGTTTCACTTGCTTGAAACAGAATACAGTTTTCGCACTTAGCAGATTAATGTGCAAAGAGTTTGTTAATGAAATACCAGCACTGAACTGATTGTATGACAAACCAATATTAGGTGAAAACAAATGAGGTAGGGACACAAAGCTACAAATGGGTGTTTTATAAAGAGGTAATAATCGTAGACAACCCTCATGAAAAGCACAAAAATGGGGCATTTTGCACCAGGTAAAGATACCTAATAAAAATAGGGAGTATCACAGTGTCTTACAGCAATGGAGTCCTTGGTTTAAACCTTGGCCAGGACATAATCAGCATGGAGTTTGCTGTGGGGTTTCCTCTGGGTACTCCAGTTCCCTTCCATATTCTAAAAACATACTAGCATGTTAATTGGCCCCAGTATGTGTGTATAAATTAACACATTTTGGAGGAGGGTTGAGGAAAGATCTTGCCACCTACCCTGTATCAAAAAATTACCATTAAAATGCTATGGAAAAGGCTCTCAAGCACATCAGACATGGTGCCCAGAGAGCTGATCCATAGAACTGCCAAAAGTTGAATACCTGGCAATGTACCTTAAAAAATGCCACCAAGAAAATGCCTTCAAGCATATCAGACATTGTGCCCAGAAAACTGGTCTATAGAGTCACCAAGCATTGAATACCTGGCAAGATACATCATAAAAAAAATCTACCAAGGAATTTCCAAGAGTTGGATACCTGGCAACCTAATTCATAAAAAATCCACCAAGCGCATTCAATGGAAAAGTCCCTCAAGCATATCAGACATGGCGTCCAGAGAGCTGACCCAGAGAATTGCCAAGAGATTAGTACCTGGCAACCTATTTAATAAGAAGTCCACCAATCATGGAAAAGTCCCTCAAGCATATCAGACATGGTGTCAAGAGAGGTGACCCAGAGTTGTATATCTTGCAACCTATTTCATAAAAAATCCACCAAGCATTCTACGGAAAAGTCCCTTAAGCATATCAGACATGGTGTCCATAGAGCTGGCCAAGAGTTGGATACCAGGCAACCTGATAAAAAAATCCACCAAGAACATTGTATGGAAAAGTCCCTCAAGCATATCAGACATGGTATCCAGAGAGCTGATGGGTAGAATTGCCAAGAGTTAGATACCTGGCAACCTATTTCATAAAAAATCCACCAAGCAAATTCCATGAAAAAAGGCCCTCAAGTGTATCTGACATTGTGCCCATAGAGTTGCCCAAGGGTTGGATACCTGGCAACCTGATATAAAATCCACCAAGAAAATTCTAGGCAAATGTCCCTTAGGCATATCAGACGTGGTACTCTGAGAGCTGGCCCATAGAATCACCAAGAGTAGGATTTGACTGATCAGATACCACACGCACACAATATTAATAGAACAAAATAGGTAATGAATACAAATGAGAAATTGTTTCGCTGGGATGTCAAAAAAGATGAAATAATAATACTTTAATTTCAAAGACTCACTATTCCTCCATGATTGGTTCACATAATCAGCTGCAAGTCTCTGTACTGTCCCCTCTCTGTATCATTATCACTTTAGCTCATTGAAAGGCAGAGCATGGCTTTATCTGATTGAAATGAACAATTATGATTATTACTTCTGCTGCTCGTCTCCTGTGATTTGCAATAGCTGTAGTTATACCAAGAATAGCTGCAGAACTGGATATCCTTACGTGCCTTGGTATTCATGTCTGTGATCTTATCAACCAGACACAATCATTCTTTCAATGCAGAAATGTTAGAATGATGTCCAACTGGAAAAAAAGGTTTAAAATTAGTAACTGTCTCTGAGCCATCTATTACATTGATCCTTTGTCTTCATGTGAAAGTTTGGTTTAAAATAGTAAACTTAACTCTTAAGCTGAACTCCATGTAGATATAAAAGACACAAATCAGTGCAGCTCTGTAATCACTCATACATCATTAAATATATATTTTGAATGGCAGGCAGTGTAAGTAACTGAATGTGACCTGGTATAAGCCTCTTGCAGTCCCTGTACAGCAGGGCTGGAGTGTGAGAGGAAGAAGCAGCACAAGGAGCTAGTCAGTTCATGTGCTGACAAAATGCATACTGATAGGAGTGGGATGCAGAGTGACAAATAGATGAGCTCATCATGCGCTGCTTCTCCTTTGAGGCAGGTCCAGGATGCAGTGGCTTCAGTAGGTGGGTGCGGCCTGCACCCAAGTAACACCATTGGAGGGGATGACTGTCAGTAATTTGGGGAGGCAGTCACATGCTCCCCCTTCCCAGGAGGATTTTCCTTCTGAATTGAGTGGCAATCTAACCTAATCTCTGGGCATACATAGAAAGTACCCTTGCTGTGGGGCTACCCCTGCACTGCAAGGGTTTAGTGCTCATTTTTGTCTAGGGACTGGAGTAGAGCAGATTTACTTACTTGATCCCTGCTTCCGCCAGCTCCCTTACGGCTGCTAGGCCAGTCCCCGCAGCCTCTT